TAAAAAAAACAGGAGGACCACTTAAGGGAGCTGTGAGACGATGTGAAACGTAACAATATTAGAATAGTAGGTGTGCCAGAAGAGGCAGAAAGGGATAGAGAAGGTGTTTGAAAAATAATGGTAGAAAACTTCCCTAACCTGGTAAAGGAAAAAGTCGCACAAGTTCAGGAGGCACAGAGAACTCCGAACAAGAAGAACCCAAACAGACCCATACCCAGACACATCATAATTAAAATGTCAAAAATTAAAGACAGAATCTTAAAGGCAGCAAGAGAAAAGAAAACTGTTACCTACAAAGGAGTTCCTATAAGGCTGACATCTGATTTCTCATCAGAAACTCCATAGGCCAGAAGGGAATGGCATGAAGTTCTCAAGGTAATAGAAAGCAAGGATCTGAGACCAAGGTTACTATATCCAGCAAGGTTATCATTCAAAATAGGCGGTCAAATAAAGACCTTCCCAGACCAAAAAAAAAAAAAGGCTAAAGGAGTTCATCACCACCAAGCCAGCATTACAAGAAATGCTAAAGGGGTTGCTATAAGGGATTGCTGAGAAGAAAACAGAGAGAAACCTAGCCATGCAGAATTAAAATGGCTATAAATAAGTACTTCTCAATAATAACCCTAAATGTAAATGGATTAAATGCTCCAATCAAAAGGGGTAGGGTAGCTAAATGGATACAAAAACATGACCTAACTGTATGCTGTCTACAGGAGACCCACCTCAAAACAAAAGACACACACAAGATGAAAGCAAAGGGATGGAAAAAAATTTCCCATGCAAATGGAAAAGAAAATAAAGCTGGAATAGCAATACACATATCCAACAAAATAGACTTTAAAATGAAGACCATCACAAGAGTCCATCCAACAAGAGGATTTATTCACCCAATATAGGTGCACCTAAATATATATTAAAAAAAAACTTCTAGAGGACTTTAATGGAGAGACTGACAACGATACAGTAATAGTAGGGAACTTTAACACCCCTCTGACTTCCGTGGACAGATCTTCCAGACAAAAACTCTACAAGGAAAAAAAGACTCTAAAGGACACGCTGGATCAGATAGATTCAATAGACATTTATAGAACATTTCACCCCAACACAGCAGAATATACATTCTTCTCAAGTGCACATGGATCATTCACAAAGACAGACCAGGTTAGGACACAAAACAAATCTCTATAAGTTCAAGAAGACTGAAATCATATCAAGCATCTTCTCAGATCACAGTGGAATGAAATTAGAAATCAACTACAGTAAAAACACCCAAAACATTCAAATACATGGAGGCTAAATAGCTTGTTATTAAACAATGAATGGATTATCAATGAGATCAAGAAAGAAATCAAAAACTTCCTGGAAACAAATGAAAATGAACACACAACAACCCAAAATCTCTGGAACACAGCAAAAGCAGTCCTGAGAGGGAAGTTCATAGCACTATAGCCATACCTCAAAAAACAAGAAAAATCAGTAATAAGTATTTAACTCTACAACTTAAAGAACTAGAAAGAGAACAAGAAAATACCAGAGTAAATGGAAGGATGGAAATAATAAAGATTACAGCAGAAATAAATAACACAGAGACTAAAAATCAATGAAACCAAGAGCTGGTTCTTTGAAAGGATAAACAAAATTGATAAACCATTAGCCAGACTCATTAAGAAACAATTAAATAAAATCAGAAACTAAAGTGGAGAAGTAACCACGGACACTACAGAAATACAAAGGATTGTAAGAAAATACTATGAATATGCCAACAAGCTGGACAATGTGGATGAAATAGATAAATTCCTAGAAAATTACAATCTCCCAAAATTGAATCAGGAAGAATAAAAAAACCTGAATAGGCCAATAACAACCGATGAAATAGAAGCAGTAATCAAAAAACTCCCACCAAACAGAAGTCCAGGTCCAGAGGGCTTCATAGGGGAGTTCTTCCAAACATTCAAAGAAGAAGTATCACCTATACTCTCAAGCTATTTCAGAAAATTCAAGAGGAAGAAACACTTCCAAACTCTTTTTATGAGGCCAGCATTATCCTAACTCCAAAATCAGATAAAGACACTACAAAGAAAGAGAGTTACAGGCCAATATCCCTGATGAACATAGATGCTAAAATCCTCAACAAAATATTAGTAAATCGCATCCAGCAATATAGATCATACACCATGATCAAGTGGGATTTATTCCAGGGATGCAAGGCTGGTACAATATTCACAAATCAATAAACGTGATACATCACATAAACAAACTGAAAGACAGAAAACACAGGATTATCAATAGATGCAGAAGAAGCATTCAACAAAATCCAACACCCATTTTTTGATAAAAACTCTCAGCAAAGTTGGAATAGAGGGAGCATATCTAACCATGATAAAGGCCATATATGACAAACCTACAGCCAACAACATACTCAATGGGCAAAAACTAAAACCATTTCCCCTAAGAACAGGAACAAGACAGGGATGCCCACTTTCACCACTCCTGTTCAACATAGTACTTGAAATGCTAGCCAAAGCGATCAGACAAGAAGAAGAAATAAAAGGCATCTAAATTGGAAAAGAAGTAAAATTGTCATTATTTGCAGATGACATAATATTGTACATAGAAAACCCCAAAGACTCCATCAAAAAACTACTAGAACTAATAAATGAATTTGGCAATGTACCAGGATACAAAATCAACACCCAGAAATCTATGACTTTTTTATATACCAATCAAAATCACAGAAAGAGAAACTAAAAAAAAAAAAATCCCATTTACCATTGCACACACACAAAAAAATTAAGATACCTAGGAATAAACTTAACTAAGGAGGTAAAAGACCTATACTCGGAAAACTACAAGACTTTGAAAAAAAGAGGTAGAGGAAAACATAAACAAATGGAAGAATATACTGTGTTCATGGATTGGTAGAATTGACACCACTAAAATGTCCATACTACCCAAAGCAATCTATAGATTCAATGCACTCCCCATTAAAATATCAACGGCTTATTTCACAGACCTAGAACAAACTCTCCAAAAATTCATCTGGAATAAAAAAAGACCCCGAATAGCTGCAGCAATCCTGTGAAATAAGAGCAAAATTGGAGGGATCACAATACCAGATATCAAGCTATATTACAAAGCCACAGTTCTCAAAACTGCCTGGTATTGGCACAAGAACAAACATATAGACCAATGGAACCAGAGAACTCAGAAATCGACCTAACCCATTAGGCTCAATTAATATTTGACAGAAGAGGCAAGAGCATACAATGGAGTCAAGATAGTCTTTTCAATAAATGGTGTTGGGAAATTTGGTCAGATACATGCAAAAAAAAATGAAACTAGACCACCACCTTACACCATATACAAAAATAAACTCAAAATGGATAAAGGACTTAAACGTAAGAAGGGAAACCATAAAAATCTTAGAATCCATAAGCAGCAAAAACAGCAGACATATGTCGTAGCAATATCTTTACCGATACAGCTCCTAGGGCAATGGAAACTAAAGAAAAAATAAACAAATGGGACTACATCAAAATAAAAACCTTCTGCACAGCAATAGAAACCATGAACAAAACAAGAAAGCCCACTGCATGGAGAACATATTTACCAATGTTATCTCTGATAAGGGTTTAATCACCAAAATTTATAGGGAACTCATACTACTTAACAAAAGGAAGACAAGCAATCCAATCAAAAAATGGGCAAAGGAGCTAAATAGACACTTTTTAAAACAGGACCATGAAGAAGGTCAAGAGATATATGAAAATATGCTCAAAGTCACTAATCATCCGAGAGATGCAAATCAAAACGATACCTGTCAGAATGGCTATCATCAACAAATCAACAAATGACAAGTGCTGGAGAGGATGTGGAGAAAAAGGAACCCTTGTGCACTGGTGGTGGGAATGCAGACTGGTGCAGCCACTGTGGAGAACAGTATGGAGTTTCCTCAAAAAACTAAAAATGGAACTTCCTTTTGACCCAGTTATCCCACTTCTAGGAATATATCCCAAGAAAACGGAAACTCCAATCAGAAAGGATATAAGCACCCCTATGTTCAGAGCAGCACAATTCACCAGAGCGAAGATTTGGAAACAACCTAAGTGCCCATCAGCAGATGAGTGCATTAGAAAACTGTGGTACATCTACACGATGGGATACTATGCTGTAGTAAAAAAGAAGGAACTCTTACCATTTGCAACAGCATGGGTGGACCTGGAGAGCATCATGCTAAGTGAAATAAGCCAGTCGGAGAAAGATAAATATCATATGATCTCACTCATTTGTGGATTATAATGAACAACATAAACTGATGAACAAAAATAGAGCTGGGGGGGGGGAGGGTGGGGTGGGGGGGAATGTTCTAGAATATAATAGAGTAATCTGTTATTTGCAGACTTTTAATATTTCCTACAACTTTTGTGGTATCATACCATGTTAGTACAGTTTTAGAATTATTATACTTAAAATCCTTTGATTCTTGAGATATTAATGTCTATTGCATATAATATTATATGTAAGATCATTTTTCTTGAGTAATTGGTGTTTATTGCATATAACATTATATTTAAAATTGTTTTTCTTAAGATATTAATGTTTATTGCATGTAACATTATATTTAAGATTATTTTTCTTGAAATATTAAGGTTTATTGCATGTAACATTTTTATATTTAAAATCATTTTTCTTGAAATAAAAAACTGAAAAAAAAATTCCTAAGTTCACTTAAGTTACATTTACAATGGCACATTTTAAAAGAAATTATATTTACCTCTAAGTGTTAAAAACACAATTATTTAAAATTGAGATAAATGTATAAAATTCTGTAATTAAAATAGTCAAGCCTATTATGGTGTAAAGTTTTCTTACCCCATTTATTTAACTACAAAAAAGTAAATTTCCTTTTTCTTAAAAAAAATGAACTATCAATAAGATATTCTTACACAGCTTCTAAAACTGGTCTCTAATATGTCTATATTAATTTAAAGTACTCTTACCTTTCTTCTGAGCTATACAATCGAGCGAGTCCAAAATCTGCAAGTTTTATCTGCCCTCTGGTGGAAGTAAAACAAAATGAATAAAAGATATTATTCTACTTTGAAGTGGTCATACAAAATCATGTTCTTAGAACTAATAAAAAATATGTAAACTTTAACTTTGATCACACTGCAGTACTCAAGGTACTATAGGTATAGGAAAGTAGATAAACTCAGGATAAAATAAGGTAAAAACTTTTTCTTTGGAAGAAGTTCAGCTAATACCATAATACTAGTACTATTTTTATTATTATTGCTATTATTACAGTATTACCAGTATAACAGTATTTCAGCACTATTTAGTTGCTATTTAGAAAAGTACACTTCAAAGAAAATAACACAAAATGAGGCAATTTCTACTACTTAGTAATAAGACAAATTACTTGCTCAAGTCAATAATGTTCAAGATCTAAATCACAATGTTTTAAATTTAAATTGATTTTCCTGTTCTTAGAGGGGCAAGGTGCCTGGAACACTTTATACTAACCCAAATCAGGACCAGACATGCTTCACTTAAACTAACAAATAATACCAATTACAATAGACTTATCAGGAGTTCAGGTTATGCTGCCAGTAAAATATTCAATACAAGCTTTGCGTGTGTGTGTGCGTGTGCGTGTGCGTGTGTATGCACTTCAAAAAGGCCACTTTAAAACTTTGATATTTGTATTCATCAAATACTTATATTCTTGGTAAAGCTTCCAGTCAACAGGAGGTTATTAGTAAAGTATTTGGAATCAAAAATTATATGCAAATTTTCAAATGTGTTGGGAGGATGAAGAGGAGGTTGGCACCCTAGCCCCCCCCCCGACCCCGCCCCCAGTTGTTCAAGAGTCAACTATAATCTAAATTAAAAATCCTTTAAACAAAATCAAGGTATACATTATATAACACTCACTTTGAACATATATATCAAAGTTATATCATACCTATTATTTAGAAGAATATTTGAACATTTAATATCCCTATGCAAAAAGTTCTTCTTATGACAATAATCCAGACCTTCCATGAGCTGTCTCATAAATGACTTTATGTGATTTTCATTAAAATGAACCAAGCCTGATTCCAGTAGTCCCATCAGATCATGGTCCATATATTCAAATACCAGATAAAATGCACCTAAGAACAAGAACAATTAAAACATTTTTATTCTTACAACTTTTCTATAGGTTCAAAATTTTTTAAAATTCTACGGTGAAAACTAATCCTTTCCTTGAAAAGAAGTGTTACTTTATCACTTTGATAATGTTCATCTTTCTCTCTGAGTTTACTATCAATAAATACATCCCAAGGACACATTTAACCCAGTTTTTGTCTCGTAAACAAAACTCTTATTATATAATCAACCCTGTTGATTTTCACATAGCACAGTTTCTGGGTATAATTAATGTAAAATAAATTCTTAACTGTTTTACATATCGAACAAATTGTCTCTTAGTGAAAAGGGAATAAAATCAGTACAGCTCATTAAAGAAAATTTGAAGGTGGCAAAAGTGTTGTTTTTAATTTAAAAAAAAATCTGAGCTCAGTTGGACTTTAGATGAATCCATTTAAGCCTTCTACATATAATTTCATTCTATCTATACAGCTCCAGAGCATTTGAAAGCATACAAATTACAGCTTTATATAATAAAGCCAGCTTAATCCTACCAAAACATAACATAGCACATACACAACTGTACTTATGAGATTCAAAAATCCTAAATGAAACTTGCATAAATTGAATCCAAAGCTGTATCAAAAAAATATCCCAATCAAGTACAGTTTAATTTAGCAATTCAAGAATGAAAAAGCTGATAAAATTCAATACATCTATTTGTCAAAGGAAAAAATATCAATGTGTCAAAAAAAGGCATCTGAAGAAAGTTCACAGTTTCTAATTTAAAACAAAGCAAAGATCTCATAGTAAACTTACTGTCTAAAAATCCGAAAGAATAAAAAGAGAGTTACAGAAAATCATACAAAAAAGCAAAGGACTTCATATATGCCAGCAACAATTCATTAGAAAATAAAATTTAAATGACTCCACAATTGAAAAAAATTATATTACAAATTACTAGGAATAAATTTTAATAAGAATTAAACAAAAACCAGAGTACCAGCCAAAATGTTTCTGGTGATAAACATTTACTGTACCAGAAATTAATATGACCTACCATACTATTAGGACAGACAGAACAGTGTAATATACATACACCAGAAAACAAACACCAAATACAAAGGGTGTTCCAAAAAAATGTATACATACAACTTTGAATAATTATAAAAGCAATGTTTATTAAAATACATTTCATTTTCAAAACTGAGCTATTAGCTGTTAAAGTGTGTATACATTTTTTGAGAATACCCTGTATATCTAATAATTACTAAAACATTTTAAGTCAGTGAGCAAAAATAGAAATTCCAAGATAAAATCAAAGGGATATGCTAGAAACCAAAAACAGCATAATACAAGTAAAGAATGCCTTTGACAGGCTCATCAGTTTGAAGGATATGGCCTAGCAAAGAATAAGTGAGTTTGAAGATAGGTCAATAGAAATTTTCAAAACAAAAGTGCAAAGAAAAAGACAGAATATCCCCAAAATGTGGACAATTACAAAAAGTGTTAACATATGTGTAATGGGAATACAAGAAACAACAGAAAAAGAGAGAACGGAAAACAAGAAATATGTAAAATAAAAATGACTGAAATTTCCCCAAATTAATAAAATATATGAAAACCACAGATCCAGGAAACTAGGGAGGACATCAAGGGGAATAGCAAAACTGCTGAGAATCAAAGACAAAAAAAGAAAACCTTGACAGAAGCCAGAGGGAAAAAACATCTTACCTATAACCGCATTCAAGGATAAAAATTATAACTGATTTATCTTAAGAAACATTGAATAAAAAAAGAGTGGAATGAAATATTTAAAGTGTTGAAAGAAAAATCCACCAACCTAAAATTCCCTATTCCATATCCAGCAAAATTATTCTTCAGAAGTGACAGAGAAATAAGAACATTCTCAAAAAAAAAAAGGAAGAAATTTGTCATCAGTAGATCTGCTTTGCCAAAGGCCAAAAAAATCTTCAGAAAGAAGGAAAATGATACAGGAAAGGAACTCAGATCCACATAAAGGAAGGAAGAACATTAGAAAATAATAAAGGTAAAATAAAATATTTATTTTTCTTATTAATTGATCTGTTTGTTCAAAATAACAGCAATGGTTTCTGTAACTAGCTTGTGAAAGAATAATAATAATGTTATAACAAATGGGAGCAAGGAACTGGGAATACTCTGTTATGAGGTACCTATACTACCTATAAAGTAGTATAATGTTATTTTAAAAATTATAAATATATTCTGTGAACATAAGAACAACTACTATAGATAATTTTAAAAAAAATAAGCACTGTTGATATGCTAAAGAAAGGGAAGAAAAAATGGAATCATATGAAAAGCTTATTGAAGGCCAGGGAAGGCAGAAAAAGAGGGGGGGTAGACAACAAATAGAAAAATAACAAATATGGACGATATTAATCTAACTATATCAATAATCACCTTCTATACCAAAGATCTAAATATATCAATTAAAACATAGAGATTGGTAAAGTGGATAAGAAAAATAAGACCCAACTAGATATTTCCTATATACACTTTAAATATAAATAGAGCCTTGCAGCGGTTGCCAACTGGTGGTCCATGAGGTCCGAAAGGTTGGTGACCGCTGGAGAACATTCTCCCATACACCAAAAGGTTATGGGTTTGATTCTCAGTCAGGACATACACCTAGATTGTGGGTTCAATCCCTGGTCACAGTGTGTAGAAGTGGCAACCGATCCATGTTTCTCTCTCACCTCACCTCACCACCCCCTCCCTCTCTCCCTCTCTTCTCTCTCTCCCCTGACCCCCCTTAAAAATCCTCTTTCTAAAAATCAATAAAAACATATCCTTGGGCAAGCATTAAAAAATAGAGAGAAATAGACAAAGATTAAAATTAAAGAACAGAGGAAGCTATGCCATACTATCACTAATCAAAAGAAAGCGGGAGTAATTTATTAATTTCAGACAGACCAGATTTAAGAGCAAGGAAAGTTATCAGGAATAAAGGGGTCAATTCTCCAAGAACATATAATAACCTTTGCTGTGTTCACTCCTTACAAAAGGCTGCCAAAATACATCAGAAAAAAAAACTGAAAGAATTACACTGGTTAATAAATATTACATCTATATTGTACTTCATCCAACAATAACAAAATACGTATTCTTCTCATATTCACATGAACCATTCACCAATACAGAGCATACTCAGGACCATAAAACACACCTAAACAAATTTAAAAGAAACCATACAAAGTATGCCAATGAAATAAAACTAAAAATCAGTAACAAGAAGATAGCTGAAAACCAAAAGCACTCAGAGTTTAAAAAAATAAAAAACTTTAAAATAACACCTGAGTTAAAGATGAAGTCTAAAAAGAAGCTTTAAAATATTTTGAAGTAAATTAAAATAAAAACAACTAAAATATGTGGGATACAGCAAAGCTATTCCTTAGAGAGAAATTATAGCACTAAGTAAATGTATAGGAAAAGAAGATCTAGAATCAACAACCTAACTATCCACTTTAGGACTCTAGAGAAAGAGCAAATTAAATTTACAAGTAAGCAGAAAAGTAGAAATACAGTTACAACTTGGTTCTCGAACATCTCCCACCTTGAACAATTTGGTTCTCAACCAAGTTGTTCACAGAAAAAAATGTCTTGGTTATAGAACAAAACTTCAGTTTTCGATCAGACAACGCTTTCATGCTGATACCTCACCATAAAAAAAAAAAAAGCATCTCTCAGGAAACAAATGAGAAAATGCTTTTGTTGATGGCAAAATCAAGGATCAGCACCATTTATACTAATAAAAGAGTAATATGCTTAGACCGGGAGCCTTCCGGACAAAGCCATGGTGGTGGAGCCAAGACAAGAGGGGGTTAGGGGCAACCAGGCCGATGGGGGGGGGGGGGGGGGGCTTGCAATTGGGGGTGAGCAGGCCAGCAGGGAGGGCAGTTGGGAGTGAGCAGGCTGGTAGTGGGGGGCAGTTAGGAGCGATCAGGCAGTTGGGGGTGAGCAGGTTGGAAGGGGGGGCAGCTGGGGGTGAGCAGGCTGGCAGGGGGAGCAGTTGGGGTCGAGCAAGCCAACACAGTTGGGAGCAAGAAGGCTGGCTGGGGGGGGGGGGTAGTTGGGGGCGAGAAGCCAGCAGGCAGAGTGGTCAGTGGCAATCAGGCAGGCAGGCGAGCTGTTAGGAGCCAGCGGTCCCGGATTGTGAGAGGGATGTCCGACTGTCAGCAGTCGGACATCCCCCGAGGGGTCCCAGATTGGAGAGGGTGCAGGCTGGGCTGAGGGAACCCCCTCCCCCGCATGAATTTCGTGCACCAGGCCACTAGTTTTAAAACATAAAGAAGCCATCAAGAGTGCTAATGTTGCTAAGGAGTGAAAAAAAGGATCACAGGAAACTGAAGAGGTAAAAAGATTGCTGGTGATTTGGATAAAGGAAAAGCAGTTTGAGAGTGACAGCCGTTTTGGAGGCAGGAAGATGCCGCATACAGACTTCCTGAAAGATACCTCTGGAACTAGTACTGAAAGTGATTCCTTTAAGGTTAGTAGAGGGTGGTTCAATAAATTTAAGAAAAGAAGTGTTTATTTCTATATTAAACAGTACATTAGACATGTACTGTATATAAGAAAGGTTAAAATGGAATTATTTGTGTGTCTAGAACAGATTAATTCAATTTATTTATTTCTTTTAAATCTTTATTGTTGAGAGTATTACAGATGTTCCCCCCTCATTCCCCCCCAGGGCCCACTGCCACCTTATTCCCGCCCCATCCCAGGCCAATTTACATTTCAAATAGGAAAAAATGATTCACTTTTCGAACAAATCACTTCTCAAACAGCCTTCAGAATGAAAAAAGTTCAAAAACTGAGGTTTTGTAGTAATAAATATCAGAACTTAAATCAATGATATTGAAAATAGGAACTCAACAGAGGGGGAAAATCAACAAAACTAAAAGCTGATTTTTTGCAAAGATCAATAAAACAGGTAAATCTTTAGCCAGGTTAAGGTGCTAATTACTAATATGAGAAATGA